TCCTCAACCCTCGCCAACCTATTTCTAGCAAGCTTCGTCCGATCGTGGCTAATTGCAGATAAAAGAACTGTCTGCATTAAAAAAAAGAGAAGTAGAGGGAGGATAAGATAAGTTAAAACTCTCACCCATATTCCCAAATGACGCTTGCACCTTCCTTCGGCGGGGCAAGTGGTCATCGGGATGGAAGTTAAAAGGCCCTCGTATCATAAAAAATATGGGTTTCCACCCGTGCGACGACGAGGGTATACCCAGTATTAGCTTGCCAAATCTGGGCTGAGATTTCCCATGCCCAATCAAAAAGTACCACCCTTCGCACTTTGCGACGTGGCATAATCTATACATAAACCTAAACTCATCCAGCAGCAGATCTGTATCAAACCGCTGGCTCCATAAAATCTAGGCACCGACGAAGCAATACCAAAAATTCAGCGCCAACTGAGCATGGGAGATGCCATAGAAATGGCAGTAGTCCTTTACAAAGGGATGGACCGGTAGGGTCATCCCCGCCGTGACAGCCCTAGTATAAACAGGGAGGTATCCGGTCGGAGGCATACTAGTCCTAAAATGCATATCCGGAAGGAGGTATTCGAACCATCTCCCATTAATGCAGCCTTCTTTGATAGCCCGGATGATATCTTTGTTCTGGACCCTCGACACCACAACATCGGCCGTAAAGAACGGCCTGTCCGGGTCTCCGCTTTAGCAGCCAGGGGGCGTCCACCAGTGAAGTAGTGACCCCACACACGCTGCCGCTTATGAAAGGCCTCCTACTAACGTCTTCATCAATCATTCGACAGACGCTGTCATAATCATCACTACAGTCGTCGCTTGGACCGGCCACATGTTCCTCAACTTCCCTTAATAGTGAGTCGCAGTCCGACGAGGAAGATGACCATGAAATCTCCGCCACAGAAGGGAAGTCTGGTTGTACAACAGATGGTTCCTCTCAACGGCTGTTTTTTGGGGCCATTATTCTGATAATAAAAAAAAGACAAGGAGCTAAGTCAAAATCCTAAGTCGAGAGGAAGGAGAAAACGGCGACCACTCTAAGCGACGACCATTCTAGACAACGACTACTGAAATGCCTCAACATAACGTCGACCATTCATATAAAAATGGTAACGACGAGCGCTCGTAACAACCAAGGTTCATCAGAACCCAGAAGCCATAGACTTACATTCAACCAGAAATAAAAAAAAAACTATCCTACGTGGGTCAAATAAAGCATGGTAAGTTACTGTCCTCTACATTTCGCATATCAACACATACATATGATTCACTGGGAAAGCCAGTAAAATCATCCAGCAACGCAAATAAGCAATGATTAAAGCTTACCGATAAGTCGTAGTCTGGGCGGAGTCTGGAAACCAAGTAGCTTCACGATGCACCAAAGGAAGCAAGGAGCGTAAGTCAAAAATTCACGAGGAGAAATTCAGGCAGAGCAACGGTAGTTTTAAAAGTCTGGGAAAGAATGGCTTCGGTTCGAAGAATATTTAAAGGAAAACAAGCCATCGACCCCTGACCGCCAGTTGAAGCTCATGAAAATCCAACGGCAGGGGCAGTTTTCCCAGATCGAACGACAGCAAAACGAAGGCGAGAAGATGAAGGGATACGATCTGAGGGCTCATATTCATTTTTTTTTTCAAAATAAAGCCTTACGTCAGCATGGGGAAGCGACCGATGCAACGGTTGCGTTCCTCAAGGAAATCTGAAGCATCCAGACCATCATTACAGATGAAGGCTCGGGATCAGGTTCCCACACCCGAAGCACGAAGGTACAACCGAACCTAAGCTCGAGGCTGTCTAAAAGAAACCCTCGACTTGGGGGGCAGCTGTTGTGTGGAGAAATGTGGATGACGCGTGGAAAAATAACAGTGTGACACGTGGCCTTGCTTTCCCTCAAAAGGCAACAACCCTCGACGTTGGGGACTCCCTTTCCCTCTGCTGCAGAGGAAGCCCAACTTAGGACGCCGACTCCTCGTGAAGACGACGGGTCGTACCATCGACCTTACGGCGGGAATCCTTCGGGAGGAAATCAATTGCCAAAAAAGACAACTAGGCTGAGCAAATAGAGACGACGAGAGGAATGCCCCAAGGGAAAAACCTGACACCGCAAGTTGCGTGCATAAATGGGAGATGTATGCAGTACAAGCATTAATTGCAAACCCTTAAACCGCCCTACGGTACACACATAGCCGTAATGGGAGACGAATGGGCTGAGTGAACAGTTCGTAAAAGTGATTAGTGGGCTACGGTCTGGCCTAGAAAGGCAGACCACTTGAGTGCTTTTACCTACAAAGGAAACCCACCCGACGAAGGAAGCTCGGCTATAAAAGGGGCAAAGCCTCATACAGAAGGGAGGTTGGTTTTCCCCGAGAGAAAAGAACGAGAGCAACAATTGATGTAAATTGTAACACTCTCAAAAAGAATATAAAACTACAGTGGATGTAGCTCTTGATTAATAGAGTGAACCACTATAAGTTTTGTGTGTTCTTCTACTTTCAGCATATTTTTCTTATATTGCTCACCACTCAAAAAATACCACAAACACTTCACTCCATAAATTGAGTATACAGTCAATATCAAGCCGGTAATCCAACGGGATACCTAAAGGTGACCCGGCCTATTTCTGTTGACGAGTTTTCACCGTCAACAGTCCTTTTTTTTAGATGGGTAGTCCTGACATTTGAATGGAGAGAGAGCTGGAGAAGGTATGTTCATGACACGAAGGGTAAATATTTAGGGCATATTGTAGAATGCCTTACTCCGAAGTAAATTTATGTTTGTCTAGTTGTGTACTAAAAATGAGAAATTTATCTAGTTATCATAATTTTATGTGGCGACGACTGATTTACAAGTGTCATTGCTAGTAGGCAAAATAATAGCAAGAAAAGCATATGTTTTAGAAAGTAATACTCCTATGTACTCTTCCCACCACATGTACCATCCCTGATGCTCAAATTCGCCAAATCTGGTTGACGCAGCCCAAGTGGCACACCGGCAAGCACTGTCGTGACACAACTTCCATCGTCGGCCACCAGTTACACACTCCATCCAGTGCCCACAAATTCTTTAATGATGGAGTTGAGCCCATTACTTAGGCTTCATTAAGAAACAAGTCTTCTCCTAGGACTAAGGGCTCGTTTCGCAAGAGGGTTATACGGGTTTGTACTAATTAATTTAATAGAATCTTCGTTTGAGACTTTAAAAAATAAATTTGAGTTGAAATCTCGATGGGACATTTGAACTCAACTCATTCTCAAAACCGAGAACCCACCTCCCCTTGGTTTTGCCTATTTGAACCTATATAATTCTAACTCCACAGAATCTCATACATTACTGAATGATGATCATTCAAATATAAAAAAGTTCAAACCACTTAAATTTAAATCTCCTTACCAAATGAGCCCTAAGAGTTCATAAAAATAAAGCCAGACTCTGACCAAAAAACAAGACAACAAACATCTCTAATATGGTTGTTGTACTTGTTCAGAACTTGCAACATTTTTTGTTTGCTATTATAACATTCACTTTGTTTGTAACAAAAGATAATCTTCATAATATTACTTCAATATTATCACGTTATACAAAGAGTTACAAATTATATTACAAGAACTGTACTTTATAGTCGTCGGAGTGAGGACTTTGCACTACCAAGGAATAACATAATATTCCTTTAATATTATTTTTTAGGAAACTTTTTTGTTATGATCAATAAAAATAAATCATTGGTGTGGTTTTTTGTTTTTCAACCGTTTAAATATACTCCTCATTTTTTAATAAATATATATTTTTAGTAGATTCGTTTAGTAAAAGATATATATATATATATATATATATATATGTGTGTGAGAGAAAGAGAGAAATAGATTAAGATTTAAGATGAATTAAAATTAATAAGTCAATAGTTTACATAAGTTAATAAATAGGCCAAATTACTGTTTTCGTCCATAACTTGTCTGGTTATGAACCATAACTTGACAAGTTATTCACAGTTTTTGTCCATAACTTGTCTGGCTATGAACCATAACTTGACAAGTTTATCCATAACTTATCTGGTTATGAACCATAACTTGATAAGTTATAACCTATTAATTTCTATACCTAAAAGTTGGCCTATATACTTTCTTAAACTTTTCATGTTGGCTTATTTTCTACTATTTCTGTATATATATTATGAGCTTATTTAGTTCGCTGATTTGAGGCCAAATCAGTAGTTTACATAAGTTAATAAATAGGCCAAATTACTGTTTTCGTCCATAACTTGTCTGGTTATGAACCATAACTTGATAAGTTATAACCTATTAATTTCTATACCTAAAAGTTGGCCTATATACTTTCTTAAACTTTTCATGTTGGCTTATTTTCTACTATTTCTGTATATATATTATGAGCTTATTTAGTTCGCTGATTTGAGGCCAAATCAGTAGTTTACATAAGTTAATAAATAGGCCAAATTACTGTTTTCGTCCATAACTTGTCTGGTTATGAACCATAACTTGACAAGTTATCCATAACTTATCTGGTTACGAACCATAACTTGATAAGTTATAACCTATTAATTTCTATACCTAAAAGTTGGCCTATATACTTTCTTAAACTTTTCATGTTGGCTTATTTTCTACTATTTCTGTATATATATTATGAGCTTATTTAGTTCGCTGATTTGAGTTTTTAATTTAATTTAAGATGTAATTTTATATAAGAATTTTTTATTGTAATAAAAAAATTAAATGTGACTATTTTTTAAAACTTTTTACTATAACAAAACTTAATTTTTAAATTCAAATCAGTAAAATGGACGAGATTTCATTTACTTGGATTCTCCCTCCAAATTTCTTTTTTAAAGAGAAGAAAAGGATGCTCACAAATCGGACAGAATACTGTCTTTATCTTTACTGCCGTTAAATAGAATGGGCCCCACGTTATTCAACGGTTGAGATTATAAGAATTTCTCTCTTTATTCCTGCGAATCTCCGAACAGAAAACCCAAAAAAAGAAGGGAAAAAAAAAAGAAAACGCTCACAGGTCTTCATTTTCCCACTAAATTCTGCAACTCTTTTCCGGGGAAAAAAAAGAAGCAAAGCCCTAGAAAGCTTCCAAATCTCCTCCAATGGCGCCCGTTGACCCTCACTCGTTCGCCGACTCCACTCACCAGTTCGCCAATCACATCTCCCTCTCTCTCTACCTCGACTTCGCTTCTTCTACCATCCATGGCTCCGCTCTTCTCTCCCTCCCAAACCCTCACTCCGGCCCTCTATCTCTAGACGCCCGCTCTCTCTCCATCCACTCCGTTCTCGATCCCCAATCCTCCTCGCCACTCTCGTTCTCTCTTTCTCCTCCCGACCAAATTAAAGGCTGCCACCTCACCGTTTCTCTCTCCGGCCACGCCTCGTTCCTCGTCGTCTTCTCCACCTCGCCTTCTTCCTCAGCTCTCCAATGGCTGTCGCCGCCTCAGACGTTCAATAAGACCTATCCTTTCGTCTACACGCAATGCCAGGCCATCCACGCGCGCTCGGTTTTCCCCTGCCAGGATACTCCGGCTGCGCGCGTCTGCTACAGCGCGCGGTTGAACGTTCCGAGGCAGCTTTCGGCGGTGATGTCGGCGCGCCATGTCGATCGGCGAGGCCCGGTCGCTGGCGAGGGGTTGTTGCTGGTCTGCGGTGATCAGATGTGGTGCGCCGAGGGAAGAGTCGTCGAGGAGTTCGTGATGGAGCAGCCGATTCCGCCGTACTTGTTCGCTTTCGCGGTTGGAGAGTTAGGGTTTAGGTAATTATGGATCACAAAATCAATATTTTCATCGATATTATCGAGTTATTATTATTATTGATATAGAACTCAATTATTCTACTAATGAACTTTTTCATAGATATTTTAGAAAATAGATTATCAGTGCCAATAGATTTCTGTTGTCAAAGAAATAGTTTTCAATATAATGTTGAAGTTTATTTCATATTTTCGTGTTTGGACTTTTAGGGAGGTGGGGCCGAGGACAAGGATCTATGCGGAGGTTGTGCCTGCGGTGTTGGATTCGGCAGCAAGGGAGTTTGCGGGCACCGAAGAAATGATAAGGCAAGGGGAGAAGCTTTTTGGGCCATACGAGTGGGAACGTTTTGATTTGCTGGTGTTGCCTTTGAGCTTTCCTTATGGAGGGATGGAGAATCCAAGGATGGTGTTCTTGACTCCAACTGTTATTAAGGGCGATGCGAGTGGCGCGCAGGTGGTGGCGCACGAGCTTGCTCATAGCTGGACTGGAAACTTGATCACTAACACGACCAATGAACATTTTTGGTTGAATGAGGTATATTGATGTGACTGCTTGCTAGATTTGCCAGTAAAATGCTCTTGCCAGTTGCGGTTGAGTATTAGAATTGCTTGCCGTGGATGTGTGGAAGATTTAAGTGGAGAGGTCATTGGCTAGTTCTCCGAGATTTTACTTTGTGTTGTTCTGTTCTTTCATGTTTGAAAATTCATATACAGCTTAAATGTTGATCAAGCTCTCTACAGATGTATATTGAGTTATAACTTAATGATTTCTAGCACGACTATTCTCCAACTTGGTAGATAAAGTTCTTTGTCTTGTTCTGTTCTTTTATCATAGAAAATTTCATAATGATTTTTTTCTTCACTGTTCACATTTGTTAGGCATATACAGTTTAGATGTAAATCAAGATATTTGCATATATATTTCCCTGAAAAAAAAAAAAAATTCTTTACAGATGTATGCGCCCTAGTAATTATGCTCTACAATAAATGTTCACTCCCTTCAAAAGTACGTGGCGTAGGTCAAGAAAAAGAAGAGCAAAGAATTTTGTGCTTGGAAGTTTAATATGTACGTGAGGTTTAGTGCTTGAGGATGTTCACGTATGTTATTATATGCATGTTTGTTCTCGTTAGGGACATCTGTGGTCTCTGCAAGTGGGTTTTGATTTTCGATTTATTTTTCAAGGGTTTTACAACATATGCGGAGAGGAGAATCATTGAAGCGGTGCAAGGGGAAGAGAAAGTTGTGTTGAACATTGGAATCGGATGGAGGGGATTGAATGAGACTGTGGAAAGGTTCAAGGACAGGTTGGAGTTTACTAAGCTCAAGACAAATCAGGAAGGAGTTGACCCAGATGATGTGTATTCTGAAGTTCCATATGAAAAAGGCTTTCAATTTTTATGGCGCATTGAACGTCAGGTGGGTTGATTAATCTTCTTTCTTTTCGGATATGATTCCAAAACTTTCTGGGGATGTATCTGATTTTGTATTGTTTTTAGGTGGGAAGGCCTGCATTTGATGAGTTCCTCAAGAAATATATTGCCACCTTCAAGTTCAAGTCAATTGATACTGATACCTTTCTTGATTTTCTGAAAGCTAACATTCCTGGAATAGAGAATGAGGTTGACTTAGTTCTGTGGACTGAGGGTACTGGTATTCCTCCAGATGCCTACGAACCAGTATCCAGTTTATATACAAAGATTCTGTCTCTTGCAAATGAGTTTAGCCTTGGTAGGGTGCCGAGGGATGATGAAGTTGCCGATTGGCGAGGACAGGAGTGGGAGCTCTACTTGGAGCACTTGCCTAAATCTCTTGAAGCTTCACAGGTAGTCCCCTTGTGTTTTGTTTTGTTTGAACGAGGCTTCCCCACTCCATTTTTTTCTTATTGACTTTTGTTTACTCTCTTTTTTTTCCCCTTTTTTGTTTTTGTTATTTTCTGAATTTTTCAGTTCCAATGTGAGCATGCGGGCATTTCTTTTATGTTTTTCTAGTCCATTTTTTAATTACCATGACTTTGACGTTTCTTAATATTGTGGAGTAATTTTGGGATTAGATTGATGCTAAAGCAATTCATAGTTGTCTGGTTGAATCTGGTAAAAGACTAAATGTAATGTTGTTCAGTTGTTGAGTGTTGTCTCCATGATTTAGCTTCTTGCTGTATAATGCAAGCGCCTGAGTACTGCTTCATTTTCTTCTGGAAATGTAAGCTTAATTTGGCTTAAATATCCTCTGGCAGTGATCCACTCCTTACTCGCTACATCTAGCTATTGGTGCGAGCTTTTACCTTTAGACCTCTTCATTGGATGCTTCTGTTATTCTTCTCTATTCACGTCTATTTTCTCTTGGTAATTTATTAATAGAATTCCACGGGATTCAGATGACGAACCTCATTTGCATGTTCTCACACACCAAAGATGTCCATCTGTTCTGTCAAAAAGATGTTTGTGTAAAATCTGATTAAAACGTACTTCAGTTTGCCTAACTTTAGTAACGTGTGAACATCTATTATGTGCAGCTCTTGGCGTTGGATTCACGCTACACGCTCTCAGAATCGAAAGATTACGAGGTGAAGGTGGCGTTTTTGCAGCTAGCAATTTGCGCCAAGTGCAGAGACTACTATGTTGAGGTAGAAAAAACACTGAAGGAAGTAGGGAGGATGAAATACCTTCGTCCACTCTACACTGCTCTTGTCCAGGGCAATGGGAAGGAAGAAGAGAAGATTTTGGCCAAAAGGGTGTTTTCAGAGGCTCGCGACACTTATCATCCTAATATATATATATATATAGTAGTGTAAATAAATTGTGAACCAAACATCTGAAGCTAACTGTTGTTTGTCAGCTTCTCTTGTCACGCCCATCTCCAAAAGTTGTGAACTGATGATTCCTTTGAGGTGGTTTTTTGTTTAAAAAAAAAAAAGAAGAATCTTGAAGGATTCTTGTGCTGAGTGCTGACAATAACCTCTAGATTTTTCTTCATTTGCACTAATTCTAGAGCATCAATTATTCCTAATATCTGTTGGGCACGTGCATTTTTGTTGCCTTTTCTTTTCTGTTTATTTAGTTATTTGTTTTGGCTGAAGCAATTTGTTTCTCACGAGGTAGCAGCTTGAGGAAGGAGGCTCAATAGCTCATAATTATTAGAGTGTGCAACTTTCTTAGTCGATGGCCAAGTAATACTTGGAGAATGAAGAATAGTTCCCCCAAATTATGTCTTGCTCTTTTTCATTTTGTTAGTTTTTTGAGAAATTGACTGTATACCTTCCATTTCTTCAAGATTGCGTGCACAAATCAAGTCAGCCAACATGCACAAATTAAAATGCGATTATTAGTATAAGAGGAAAATTTCATAGGAAGTATTTCATTTTTAGGTTTCTTTTTTTTTTCTTTGAAATGAGTATTTTTTTTTTCTTCCCAATTCGTTTCTCAGAATTTATAGTAACAGATTTTTAAAAAGTAATGTCGTATTCAGTTTGGGTGGTGAGTAAATAGCATTTACTTAAGAATCTAATTTGTTTTTCCCATTTTACCCATGTTTATATTGATTTTCTTCTTTTTCTTTTCCTTTTCTTTTCTTGGCTCCGTTCTTTCTTCGTTCCTTTCCATCTCTCTCTGCCTCTTTCTCTATCTCCTTTGTTTTGCAAAAATGGAGCTTCGAGATCTATTTTCGCCCCCTTTGTCACCGATTCTCTGTTTGAAGGTCGTGGTTTCTTGACATCTTACCAGCAACTTGACTGATCGGCAACGAACAGCGCCTCTTGCCAGCGAGATTCGTTCACGGAGGAGCAATTTTGCGGTCGTCTTCGTGGCTCTACTCCATAGTGACAGGTCTACATAGCCCAGCCACATTGAACATCATTTGCTCCATGCGCAGATGTCGTTGATGGCCAAGCAAGAGAGTGCGAGAGGAAGAGAGGGATTACGAGGAACCCAAAAGCCATTGTTACATTAAAAGGGTATTTTTGGTATTTTAGTTATGTTAAGGGACTGATTTCTAATGTGCTATATTTACTTGATCTTGTTTTAAAATTTGTCAGTAATTTATTTTAAAAAAAAAACTGTTAGTAATTTTAATTAGATATCTCAAAATTGCTATTCCCCTCATTCTCCATTTTAAATTAATCCTATTCATTCATTTGTTAAAGTTAAACGTACAGAATACCAAAGTGTCTCTCCTTATTTTTTTTAAATTCATGATTCGTTATAATATTTTTTTTATAAAAAATACATGTAAATTAAAAATAATTTTAATTTCATAATTCTAATCTATGATTTAAGCGTCTCTTTAATCTTTTTGTCAATTTGTCTTCTAAATTTTAAAACTTCCTAAATTTTGAAATGTTAAGCAAAAAATGGTCATTTCGTCCATTTAGAGACCGTTTAGTTCATGAATTAGAACCATAAGATTAGAATTATTTTTAATTTACGTTTATTTTTTGTGAGAGAAAATACTATAGGGAATCATGAATCAAATTAGAGAACGAATCCTTCAACCAAACGAGCTCTTAATAGACAAATTGTTAACGTGACATCACTAGGAGCGGTTATTGAATGCCCTTTTCCCGTTAAAAGAAAAAACCCTTACCCCTTATTTTTATTTGCTACTTATTTATTGAGTAAAAATGAGTTATTCATTTCGCTGATTCGAATTTAGAATTCGAGTTTTGCTACAGTAAAAAATCCTTATAAATAATCACATTTAATTTTTTTGTTACAGTAAAAAATTCTCACATAAAATCACATCTCAATTCAAATTAAAAACTCAAATCAATGAAATGAACGGACGAATATGAAGACTGGAGAAGCATAAAGGATTTTTTTGTTGGTTCCAATACAACCCCTTTGAATCGTTGAAGACAAAAAGCATATATTACTGAAGCAATATTACCATTTAACTTTGGCCCATCCTCAAGTATGTTGCTCTATAACATCCATTAATCACATTTCAACCAACAGTGGCATTTGAGAAGTAATTATTCTGATATTTATCGATGAAACATAGTCTAGGTTTATCAACATTAACTAATTTTTCACAATCTTAATGCCCACAACACAAAGCCAAACGCGAATGACCAAAAAAAAAAAAAAAATAGCAGCCTCTGTTTTTCTAAATCAATATCGTGGAAAACCCAATCTACATATTAGCAAAAACCTGCCCAACAAACCCCATTTTCATTCTCATGTCCATTTCAATTTCAATTAGGAGAGAGATAAACGGAGAGAGAAAGAGGATATATATATATATATAGAGAGAGAGAGAGAGAGAGAGAGAGAGAGAGAGAGAGAGAGAGAGAGAGAGAGAGAGAGAGAGAGAGAGAGAGAGAGAGAGAGAGAGAGAGAGAGAGAGAGAGAGAGAGAGAGAGAGAGAGAGAGAGAGAGAGAGAGGGAGGGAGGGATCCAGCGGGGTTAGGAGCACGGCGATGGCGACAACCACCACGAGATCTTCGAGCGGTTGGGGAATGTTGCGACGGCGGCCGCAAGATTCAACGAGGTTAGGGGCGTTGCGATGGAGACTATGAGATCAATGGGGCAGTTGGCGTTGCGACGGGACCGCCAAATCCAACAGCGTTAGGACCCTAGCTACAGCGACCGTTAGATTGGGGGAAGGTTAAGGGCGTGATGATGACGAGGGGCAGGGATGATCTCACTTTGTGAAGAGGCAGCGAAGGAGTCTTGGTTCTTTGGGTTTCAGAGAAAGGGCTAGGGTTCTTCATTTTTTTAAATTATTTTTATTTTTTTATTTTTTTGTGGTTGATTATCAATTTGAAGTAAAAATACCCTAATTACCTCTTACATAAAAAATTTAAGCCCCGTTCACTTCACCGATTCGAGTTTAGAATTTGAGTTTTGTTATAGTAAAAAATTCTCAGAAACAGTCACATCTAACTTTTTTACTACAGTAAAAAGCTCTCACATAAAATCGCATATCTAGGGGTGGCAATTCGTGTCACTTGTCGTGTTCGTGTCGTGTTTTGATCGTTTCTTTCTAAATTTGTAGTCAACCTGAACATGACCCGTGACACAAAATTTTTTAAAAACCGCAACACGAACACGACATGATCACTTTACGAATTGACACGACACGACCTGAAAATGACTCGTGATATGAAATTGACCCGTGAACCCAAAATTGACACGAAAATTGTATACTTTTATTTAGTTTTTTACATATTAAAAACAATTTAAAATTTATAACACACTAAATTACAATAACATCCATTAAAATTAAGCAAATAATAGTATACGATTTTGAGTATAACTATCATGATATCACAAGTTCATAATAAAATTTAAAATATGAAATGAAAAATATATGTATTTTTTAGTTTCTTACGAGTTTCGTGTCGTGTTCGGGTTAGGCGAGTCTAATCCGAAATTGATCCGTGTTTTTCGTGTCAATTTCAGGTCAACCCAATTCTGACCCGAACATCTTTTTTCTCAACCTTAACAAGTAAAATTCGTGTCGTTTTCGAGTTGTGTCGTAACCCATATTGCCGGCCCTACACATTTCAACTCGAATTACAAACTCGAATCAGCGAAGTGAACGGGCCCATGAATTGCTCTCTAATGTCCACTGAAATTACAGCCACATCAGCATTAAATTCACGGTTACAAACAGAAAGGACCATTCTTGCTAACGTTTCACAGTTTGAGGGGTGCGTAGACAAAATTTTAAATTTCATGAAGTAAAGTGACGAAATCACCAAAGTTCGAGAGAGAAAAATAAATTTATCATTTTTTTTTTCTAAAAAGTAAGGTACCAAAATTTTTATTATTTTTTTAAAAAATTGTTAAATTTATTGGGTTTAGATTTTTATCTCTTATTTTTAATTAATATTCCTTTAATTAATATATTAATTTAATTAAAAAGGATATTAATGGATAAAAATGTAAAAATATAAATTCATAAACTCGGTATTTGTTGTTAAATCCTTAATCCAACGTTGAGTTTATATGTGAATAATTATGTGCTACGGGCTGTCATATAAGGTTAAACTTAATTAAAAGTGATATACTAAGATTTGAATATTTTGTGCTTTAATGTATCTAATAGGTTGTAGCCTTTTAATATGTATAAACTTAAGGGTAATTTCTATTTTTATGCTAGGCTAAAATAGAAATACTAAAAGATAATAGGGAAATTATCTATAAATAGCAGTTATGATCCCCAGATCACACGTTACATTCTCTTCCATCTGACATCCCATCATCAGAGAGAAAGTTAAAGAGATCTCTAAGAAAACATGTTGATTTGGAAGACAAACTGCACGGCTCTAGAGAGAAATCAGTCATTATGGATCAGGTACGCTTTCGCTTACAGATTTATGAATTATTGATGATTTGACATGAATGTTCTTGACTTTTACGTGATGGTTTTTACTAAATCATAAATTTATAATAAGTTGTATTAGAGCTTTTTCATGTTGAATCACTGAGAATAAATTCAGGACGAATGTTTTGTTGAATGTATTCCATTTTTTTCTTTTTCGGTTAAAAAAAGGAAAAAAAGGTGTTATTGACCTGCGGCAACTTTCTTTCGCCGGCACAGAGAAGTCCGGACGCGGCCTCACCGCCGCGCCGGTAGGGGCAGCCGTGGACTATTGGCCGTGACGGTGTAGGAATAGCGGCGGCTTTTGGCCGCCGCCAAGGGAAAAAAAAGGTGTTGGTTTCTGAATCGAATTCGGATGCGGAAGCGCAGGGATAGCGGATCAAGTATGACAAAAATTTTCATAAAACTTTTGAGATACTCTATAGATTATATTAATTTATACATGAATAAATTAATCAC